GACCCTCAAGCTCCCAGGCCTCTGGTAGAGGACCCGAGCTTGAAGGATAAACCGCCCGCAGGGGCGTGCTGGGTGTTATATATATATATATATATATATATACGCGTGTGTGCTTCCTCATCAGATGGTCTCCTTTTTCACTTGCATGGCTCCAAGGCTGGCCTGAGGCAGAACCTAATCTGGTCTCATAGCTCGATTGTGCCACTTTTCACTTAGCCAGTTACTATACAGGCAGTCTAGCAAGGCTGTAACTCACAAGGTGCCATGAATTTTTTAACTTTCACATTCAAGTAAAAGATGAACTTCTGAAAAAGCGCACTGGCACTGCTCAGTGGAGCATTTCACAGGCCCTGAATGGATATGCAGCGTTTTTTAATCATTTGAGGATATGCCAGGTTAGATCCGTCAGCTGGCAACAAATTGTGTAAAATGGAGTGTTTTGCTGGCTTGCATCCTATAACTATAATCTTTAAAGTGTGATTGATCCTAAATTAGGGCAACGTGGCAGAAAGGAGGAAAACAAAGAGTAAAAAAGGATGCTTGGATCAGTTTATTGGCCTCTGGGTGTGTGGAAACATCTGGACTCTTTCAGTCAGCAGTATTGAACATCAGTATTCTGGCAAGTGTTAAAATATGTTGGATTTCTGAAAGCTACTGTTTTCCCCTGGGTTGATGCATTTAAAGTTAAAGTGGAATTAAATTGCATTTTGTCTACTACAGCGACCGTATCTGCTCTGTAAATCGCATGAGAAGTTTATAGCTTATACTTTTTTGGTTTCACAACAGCACCCACTGTCTGTGCATTAATCCCTCTGAATGCTACATATTTACTATCTGCAAAGATGGATAACCTGTTTCCATACAGTCGAATCAAATTGTTTGGTCTTAAACCATATTTGCATAGAGCAAAAGGGTTTCTCGTATATAGATGGTTATATAGCAACCTGCTAGAAACTACAATAGCTACGGTTGTTGAATAAAAGCCTTAGTTTTCCTGCTAAGGCCTGCGTGACTGACAGACAATAACACACAACCTGTACCGTAGCTTCCTAAACAAACATGCACCTAGAAAGATTTTCCTTCTAGGGTCATTTTGCAGGTTCGGGACTAGGTAGCATGTCAGTTACTGCACATTAACCACCATGTATGTGTATCTGCATCTGTTTAGACAGAGTTTGGTCCTTGCTTTTACTACCAACGCTAACAATTGTCCCTCTGTGGCTTGCAAACTGTGTCACTAGGCTGGTCACTCCTACAGACATTGACATGGCCCTCCAGCTAACAATGAAGAAAATAAAAAGAAATTTCAGGAACCATGCAGCCATTAGAAATAGGCAGAGTCGTGTCTTGGAATTAGCATCTTAGGCCACAGAGCTAAACTTCTAACGCTTCCTGCAGGTTCATGGATAATTCTTCAAACAAGGGCTCTAAAATTCCAGTAATCTCTTCAGACAGACTGCATGAGTTCAGACCCTCCTGAGACCATTATTTATTTACCAATGGTGCATGTTATAATGGTAATCAGGGACCTGTCATTCAATTGTAACAGCAGACAGTCATGTTTTGCATTGAAAGCTGTTGTTTGTGTGACCCTGTGTTCCAAAGTATTTTCACTGTCAGCGAAATTCATGTTTAAAAACGGAGTTTATTCTCGTTCATTTCACTAAACATTGTAGTGTATTTATGGTGTGAATGTCTATGTTTCTGTGCAAAGCTGATACCTTTGGCTATTTAATACTCGACGTTGCAATATGCTGGTGTTAACGAGGACACTCTATCCATTGCCTTTTTTGCACTCTGTGTTCTCAGTGGTGCTTCAACAGCAATTCAGTCTCAATCTGTTGTGCCCTGACTCTACCTGAAAGCACAGATGAGCCTAGACACAAGTGCCCAGGTCCCAGAGGCCCTGGGAATCTATCAGGGGCCTGAAAAAGCAGATTCAATCTAGCTGGACAAGCTCTCAACATCCCCTCTATTAGCCCTGCAGCGCCTGGCAACCACTGCCACAATATCAGGCCTTCGGTTTGCATGGTCACCCTAGAGAGACGATACCACTGGCAAAGTACAATACCTGAACATAAAGAAGGGTTATTCTAAAGGCCCGTGGGAATGCTGTGCCAGCACAAATGTACAGAGAGGGCACAAAGAGAGTGAGGAAAACTTGTCAAGGAGAGCCGGAAGAAGGATGACAGAGAGAAAGCGAGAGGAAGATAATCATGAAGGAGAACAGGAGAAAATAAACCGTTTAAAAGGAGTTGTGCTATAGATGCCAAAGTGCAGGTTGGTTGCTTTGCGTGTGTGTGTTCACGTGCACTCCCACATGTTTATTACCCTTGCCTCGTTTTAGATTGCCAAATCACAGCATGAGCTTTCTGCAGGTCAAAAATACATTACTGTGTTTTAAATGAAACTAAAGTCTGGGGATGAGCTTAAATTACCATTCATTAGCATCCTCTTACCGAGCCAGGTATTCCTGCTGCTGCTCCACAGTATAAGGTTTGCATGTATATGTATGGAAATTCACCTATGAAGACGAGACGTGCATGCATAAGCGCACAGCGATAAGCAAACATACATCCACATACTTGATTAATCCCCCAGCGGTGCGTAAGCCCCCACCCCGCCCCGACAAAACGAGCTCTTCACTTAAACAGCTCGCAGTATCCTTCGAAGAATTTCTCTTCGATTAATCCATCATTTTGCTTTAAAATGCAGGAAAGTAATACAACCGAAAGCATGCTCTTTGTAGCTACACCGAGTTTTAAACCCAACTCCTGGCTTTTATGTGAAAATGGAAGACCTTAGAGGAGTGAGTGACTCACATTACACTGTTCAGTAAAAGCAGTTGTTCTGGTAACTGAGAGATTTACTGACACTCATATTTTCTCATACCCCTGGATACACAAGCTGAAGTGCACTTGGACATGTTTGCACACAAACACACACAGAGACACAGTACATCAAAAATCATTATGTTGGAGTAGAATTTCTCCTCTGTGTCAAAGCTGTGCAAGAACTCCCTGCAAGCACCACAGTATATCTGCTCCTCCGTGTATTGCATCTCTTCTTGTTGTTGTTTTCGTCTCAAGCTGACTGTCTAACGCAAGTTATTTGACAACTTGGGTGGAAAAAAGCGTGAAAGAGACAGTGGACTTTGCGCTAACTATGATGCATGAGTAGGGTAACTGAAGATGCATTTAAGCCGACACCTAATACAGTGGCTCAGGAGTAAAGATGCGGCGCGCTATGGGAATGGACACTTTCTTGGTTTGTTTGCCTTTTTTTAATGCAAAACTGCTAACACAGCGGCACAAAAGCAGCCCGATAAATTGAATTCTCCACTTTAAATACAGAATGACACTTAGCTGCTTAATTCATCCAGGATTTACCTGCTCCACTCCAGGCTCCCACCATAACTGACTTTCAATCCAAGGAATGTGTAATCGTGTAGTCACTATAAATCATTCATAAGTATCACTGGAGATCAGAGTGAATTCATCACAGGAGATGAGAGTGCATGTTTTAGTAGAGCATGATTTGATCTATAACTAAAATATCAAGCATGCAAAAGTGTTGAAGCTCAACCGCGATGGGTGACAGGATGATGCCATTCAGAGACTTGTTATGGTATAGACACTCGCCAACATCTGGTTACTCTTCTTTCTCTCTCTGTTTTTGTAGAAAGCCCGTTTGGCCAGGATACGAATATCCAAGACAGGAAGCTCCAATGCCTTCCTCCACAGCAAGCGTAATGGTCTCTTTAATGAAGCTCTAGAGCTCACGGTAAGACTCGCCTTTAAAGCACAGACACCTCGCTGTTGCATTGTGGTCTGACACGCTTGCATTTGTTGTGTTGTGTTTTTAACTGACAAGACAAAAAGCCTGACCTCTGCGGTAACTAAGTCATGAGATACAAGCCCTCCTTGTCTGTTTTTTAATTACGCCAGCATCCCATCAGAGCAGCTATCTGTGGTCTCATTCTATAAGCGGCACTTCTAATGCGAGCATCTCTGAGCCCAGCTGCCCAGCTGAGGAACAAGCTTCGGGCAATGCAGCAGGAAAAGTAAACACAACTCAAGGATGTTCCATGCCTCACAAAAATGTTGCGGTTCATAAGCACTACAGTGGCCCGAGGCTGACACAGAACAAAAACAAGTGCTTCTTCCACCCGCTCGCTCACTTTCTGTGTCTCTGTTGCTTTGTCTCTCTTCAGTGGCAATGGTGGAAACCGGGATGGTACCAGCAGTGCACAAGCTGTAGCAGAAATAACGCAACTAATTTACATTCATGCCTGAATAGAAGAGGGGTGACTGCGATGCTATCTGCAGTCATGCATGTCACTCTTGCACAGTGCTGTGAAGAAGGATTTGCACCCCCCCCTCCTGATTCCTTATCTTTTTGCATATTTGTCCCACTTGGTTGTGTTTCAGATCATCAAATAAATTTTAATATTAGACAAAGATAACACCAGTAAATATAAAATGCAAGGAAAAAAGTCATCTGTATTTGCCTCCTAAACCCAATAGCTGGTTGTTATTGTCTCTGTCTTAGTGTTGGATCATGAACTCAGTTCTTTATATGCTCTTGTGGGTTCTTTGTGTCCTCCTGGATGAACCATTAATGTGCTCTGGGAATAATTTTGGTAGACCACTCCTGGGAAAGTTCACCAGTTCAGAGGCGGGGAATCAAGGTCCAGTTCCGCCCTGGTGGGAGAGGCGATGACAAAAAACACACACACCACGACCTCTCCAGATCTGGAGAACCATGACATCAGGCCTGGCTGTGGTTAGTGAAATTGAAGCTTTCCAAAAATTGTGGTTAATCACAGTTAATTCATGATTTAACAAGAAGTGGCAATTGCTTTTTCACACAGGGCCAGGTAAGTTCAAGTTTCCAATAACAAACGAAAACATCCTTTAAAAACTGCATTTTGTATTTACTCGCGTTACCTTTCTCTAATAGCATCGTTTGTTTGACAGTCTGAAACATGGAAGTGTAATAAATATAAATAAGGAACCAGTAAGTGGGCAAATAGCTTTTAGCAGCACTGTACATGAGTACATATGGCCCTGAATACAGCTTGCCTGCACATTTAACACTGATGGATAAATCTGCTTTACTGAAGGTTTCCTAACACTTTTCTTAAACAGTGTTAACAGAAACCAGAGCTCTGAGACGATATTTTGATATTTTTTATGACTTGATTGCCTGTAACATTTTCCTGCCTCATTAGACTGTCCTGTCCAGTTTCAAAATTTACAAAAAAAAGAAAAAATAATGAGTTAAGAAGATTATTGTTTGGGTGGGTTTTCTTACCACCTTACTACTAAACCAATCGCCAGAGGGAAAAATAAGTAATTGAAAAAAGTAATTGACTTCTCTGTTAAATAACACTGCGAGAAAACAGATAAATGAAGCTTTCATTAGGTTTTAAATATTTTCTTGTATCATCTCACATGCCAGAATGGATTTTGAAATGGCACCAATTAAAGTGCTAATAGACTGCTTATGCCTAAAGTCAGCAAAGCTAAAGATCTGTGCCAGCTCAATAATTTTAATTGCTGTCAAACATGGGTTTAATTGTACTGAGGCTATTTACCAACAGTACATACAGTACCATGCCCAGCAAAACATTGTGTTTTGTCACCCAGTGGGTCAAGCTGTTTCCACTCTACAGTATGGTGGCCACCTGGGTGGTGAGCCATAGCCGCCTCCAGACAACCTGCTGATATCGGCTTTGAGTCGCATGTATAGAGAAGGGCAGAAATAGCTCGACCTAAACACCTGTGTTTTACTGCTGTGTTAGGTACAGATAAGCAGCGCGAGCACAGGTGCGCGGTGTCATCAGCGCAAGAAAGTACCCTCTCAGCACAGAAACCTCTGCTTACACCGCCAGCCAGCCACTTAACAAACAGAAAATTGCTACTACAAATCTTCCAAACATGGCGTTTCACTTGCCTCTTGGCGGTGCTGTGGAGCATGCAGGATCAGGGCAATGCTTTTTTTGGGGCTTTGTTTTTTTATAAACAGCTGAATTACAGATTCTGCTAGGAAGAAAACTGATGCAACGTATTGAAAGTCTGCATGCGAAACACCGCCGTAATTCTGACCAGTGCAATCAGAGCATTCGGCAACATACTGAAGAGAACGTCTTCCCAGGCGCAAGCTGAGGCTATTATGCAGAATAGTTTTGCCAATAAAATAAATAAATCTGTGTTTTCTGGGTAGTGGCTCTTCATACAGCATGGATAAATAGAATTCAAAATCCTTATATAGACAGAAAAACTCCAAATGCTACCTTAGAAAAAGTTGTACATGAAGAAAACAAACAGAACATTTGAACATTTATTCTCACTGTAACTAAAGAACACATAAGCAAATGAACTGCTTATCTTGCTCTCTTTACTTTGTTAAGAGATCTGCGAGTTTCCCCGAGACTCGAAAGACCGCTTATTCTCTGACTCACCTCCAAACTGCAGCACTAGAAATAGCACCTACTCGCAGACAAGTAAACACAGACACAGAAATGGGGGATATGAAAAACAAGTCATTATGAGTCGCCTGTTGCAAGGCTTCGTAACAGCACCAAAGGAGGGGAAATGTCACAATGGAAATTTTTATATCAGTTGTATATACTGTATATCTATTAGCATCGAGTTGCATCTCCATTCCAGCACAGATCAATGCGCCGGCTCAGCTGATGTTAAAAGAAATGCCTCTCTGGGTCTGAATAGTAATGTTCCACTGATTGGCATGACTGGAACCCTGACAGCAGCCTGTTCTGAGTACTGAACTATAAACACTAGTAAACTCTGTGTGTGTTCTCCCTTTGTCTTCTTCTCAAGCAACTTCCATACAAGATGAACCTTTCGGATCAGGTACTGAGGCAGCCGTTGGTCGTACACCTCCCACAGCTGATTATTGTCTCTCTGCAAAGAAGCATAGCATAACATTTATTTTTGTATTTGTGTGTGTGTGTTTCAGGGTTCCACTGAGGATGAGAAACGCTTAAGCAAGTCTACCTCTCTTTTAGAGAGCCAGCATCACCACCTGCTGCACTGCTTGGAGAAAACCACAGTGAGTGTTCTCATACTCGAGCTCTTTGTCATAATAATATCTTAGTTCCTGTTTCACAGAGCTGAGGAGGCTCTGTCTGTATACAACTCGAAATTGTGCCGTCATCTATAGATTTCTTTGTATCTGGGGTTCATTAGGTGAAAAAAACTGACAGCTTGGCGTAATGTGTAGATCGACAGTATTTTTATGTCCAAGTACTGCTAACCAAAGCGTGATATCCAGTGCTTTGTGTTGCACTTACGATACACCCTCAACATGCCTGTATGTCCGTATAGATGCGCTCTCTGTTTCACAAGCATGACTCGCACACAAGCTGTCACTATTTAAAGGCATTTGTCTGCACTCGCTTAAGTCCAGTGTAGATGTGTTCACCTGTGTTTTGCTCAGATGCGAACTGCAGCCCGCTGATAGGTCTGTATGTTCACAGCCTCCGAGTGACCCCTTTCATGTGAAAGTAGTATACATTGTTCATATGATGATGGAAAAATGATTCAGAGCTAGCCTGTGAGGCTGTAATGGGCCTTCAGAGGACATTGGCTTATATTAATTTCCTGGAGAATTTTAACCAAACCTGCCATTCGTCTTACCCTTACTGCTACTCTGACCCTAACCTAAGCCTAAACTTAAGATATAACGATTTATGCTACAGGGATCTATTTTTTTATGGTTATATGTGGTCATATCAGATTTATGTCCCCATGACATGAGTAATACTTGGCACACACACACAGCATGGACACTCACATAAAAAATTATCACACTTTCTGAGTTATTGATCTAGGCAACAAAGCAGAAAATGTCAGGATATATGAAGCCATGTACATAGATATAAATGCTGTAAATTTCACGTGATTTTTTTATGACACCCTGTCTCGCCGTCTCCCTCCCTGTCTTGTGTCTTTGTAGAACCACGAGTTTGTGGACGAGCAGTATTACCAGCAGAGCTACCTGGAAGGCGGGCTGCAGAATTACCCGTCCCGAAGCCCCTCCCTTTCCAGTCAAGACGGTGTGACGGGGACGTGCTGCACCCGGCGAACCAAGAAGCACCACACCCCTTTACCGAACGCCAGTGCCCCAGCACACATGCAGCCTTTGACGCACACTCACACGCACCCACAAGGCTTGCAGGAGCTCAGCACCATCCACATCCAGCCTCTCAGCACCAGGTGAGATCAGGGTAACAAAAAGCCAAAGCAGTTCCATCTCATACACTTGGACCGCTCAAGTGAAACTCTTGAGATTAAGACGTCTTTTGAGATGTGCTCATTTTCCCCCGGCTAAGAGAGCAACTTGAGTGTTTTGCAGTATTTGCCTGTTACACAGAAAACAGAGTATTATGAGTATCCTCTTGAAATAGCTTCTCCTGTGCTCTGACAAGGTGTTGTATAGACACGCAAGGCTGGAAGTTGAGTTTCAGTACTTCTGGTGTTTGTTTGGTCAAAGTGGTTATATTGCCTTTGTTGGGCTGTTCTGTGTGCAGCCTTTTGTTTTGTTTTTTGGTCGTTTTTTTATGATGTTTTTAACTATTTTAATTAGTTTGACTTTTTGTCCTTCTGTCTTGTTATAGTTTGGCTTTAGTTTGAGGATTTTTCTTTTTACTTTGGGGAATTATAACCAAATAACATCATTTACTGGTTCCATTTTTATAGATTTTGTTAACTTTGAAAGGGCTCTAAGCTATCACCCCACTGAAAGTTGCCATCGAAGAGGAGAGAGGAGGATTTCTCACTCTGTCCTCGGCACTAATCTTCACAAAAGGAATATTTCTCTATGGATTGTCCTAATCCTTGCTTGTCTTTCTTAAATTTTCCTTCAGCCGCTCCAGTCTGAACATGCGCGTAGATGAGCCAGCCCCTCTGAACTGCCAGAGCAGCCAGATCACCACAGCAATCATCAGCATTCCCACGCCCCCAGTGACGACTCCGGAGGGTGACGCTCGTCTGCCGGCAGGCCCCGCCCACCAAAATGTTGTGAAGGTGTCCGCACTGTGAAGACTAGAGTGCAGGCGCGTCACACAGAAAGACAGATTTAAAAGGAAAAAAAACTCATCGAGACAGACGGAGGGACGGAAGAGGACAGAACGACGGAGGAGAGAAAGCGTTCAGTCCTGGTCTGGCCTTGGTTGAGCCTGCCCTCTGCTGGTCATGTACTGTAACGACATGGACTCCCCGTGTGGACGGAGGATGGCTTTTAGATACAGTGTCGTCATGTTAGTGGTTGGCGTACGTGTTCGTGCGAGTGAAAGAGTGAGAAACCCCTGTAGGGAGTCGTTTTAGATAAGCGGGTGAGTGAGTGAGTGTCTCCCAAGTGTCAGTGGTGAGCTCCCCGAGTAAGTCATGTGTCACTGTGCACAAAGCACCTTTTCTTATGATTTACGCTTCAGTTTGACGTTTTTAGCTGGAGATGTAAGGAAACCTCAGAGGGAAAGAAAGAAATAACAATAATAAGACGTAATCAACCCACCGCCTCGTCGTTTGTTTTCTCTCCATAGATAAATATGGCTCCAATCCTTTTCAGCTCCAATATTATTCCAATTTGAGTAAAATTCCAAAAAGATTCTGATGGTTTTCATATTTTCATATTTGTGAATGGGTGCGTGTGAATTTATTTTTTATTTTTGGGGGCTAGATAGAGGAATTGTGATCTTTTGGATAGAAGGTGTGTGAGCGTGTGTGTTTGTTCCTCAGCTGATTGAAAACTTGTGTTTCAGTTCTTCTGAAAGTCTCTGTGGCTCAGTATGTGGTATATTTGACTAGCTGCCACTCTGAAGGGTTCAGCACACACATTTCTGTCCAAAGTTCTCAGCTACAAGGCTTTTACACGACATGTGCCTGTTCTGCTGGAGTTTAAAGATATTTATTCGTTTTTTTCTAGCTTTCTGAATTTCTCCACGTTCCCCGTTCATTCCCACTTTTCGGCTCTTCCAGCCTGACGGACCTCAAATATCTCGATTTCCCTGATGTAGAAACCAAAAAGTCTATTTTTAATTCAAAACCATCACAATTAAAAGCACAAGGCGTTCGCTGAGAATTTCTGACACAAATCTGTCCTGAGCCTGGGATCTTTGTGAATATTGTTAATAGAATATTTTGTAATATTTGACCATTGTTTGGCAGAACCAGTGAAGCTGTCCTCTCGTTCTCTCTCTTTGCCTCACTCTGTCTTTCTCTCTGCTCTCTCTGCATTTCTCTCGCTCTCGTTGTTGTCCCGTTGTATCCCTTCCTCCTGTGTGAACAACAGTATGCTTTCAGTAGTCTTTCTAGCCGTCGACGTTTTTTCTCCCCCAAACTCAGCGGGCATTTTTTTTTGAAGTTGTTGAGTATATGTACTCTATGTGGTTAGGAAACTTGGTGTTTGTACCTTTTGTCCTCCTTGGTGTTTCAGATGATTTATTTACTTTATCTTCTGGAAAAATTAAAGCAGGGAAGTCTGTTGTAACGGTGACCGCAGAGACACGAGGACACTGGATGAGCATCAACAGATGTCTGTCACCAAAAAAAAAAAAGTGTTGTTCTGTCTGTTCCCTTGAAGACCGATATGTATTATTTCTCATCTAATCCCATCAAAGTTGAGCTTTGTAACTCTGGATTATGACTTTTTTAAAAATCTTGAATGTCATTTTTGGGTTCAGCGACCCCAAAGAGAAGTCTGTCTTCGTGTGGATTTTCACCAAAAGAGGAAAGAGCAGACCAACCACCCGCTTTGCTCCGTGTAGATAAAACGAAACGGTGATAAAGAGCACAAGGAGCGAGCCAGCGTTTCACCAGTGTAAGCCAAGATCTTATTTCAAAGGCAGTATTTGAAATCGTCTACAGCCTCATTTACAGAACCTTGGGGATGCCGTATAAAATATAAATTACTCAAAAGGCAATGATTTCCAAAGAATTTAAATTGTATTTTTAACTGAAACTAGTACAAAGACAACACACTTTTATGACAATTTTAATTTGATGCCACCCACACATTTCATTAAAGTAAGAGGACAGCTGTGCTGCATACACTCTCTCTTTCTCTAAAATTGTAAATGCATATGAGAAATATTCATTTATGAAGTTTTGTTTTTCCATCCTTTTCTTTGTTCATGATATGAGCTTCTCGTTTGAGCCTCCTTTGTTTTATAAGTGTGAAAGATCCAGACTGCAGACAAGTCATTTTAGTACCGCCTGATGAAGTTCAACCCGAGCATCAGAATGGGGAAGAAATGCCATTTAAGTGATTTTGAATGTGCCATGGGTGTTGGTGACAGGCAGGATGGTCTGAGTATTTCAGAAACTGCTGGGATTTTTCCACACATCCCAGAAAAAAGAGAAAATATGATGACTCAAATAACCACTCGTTCTGTCAACTAAAAACAGGAAACGCAGGCTCTGAAACACAGGGGCTCACCAAAATTGGAGTTCAGGCTGGTGGTGGTGGTGTAGTGGTATGGAGAGTATTTTCTCGGCACCTTGTGTTCGAACAGCCCAGCCTACCTGAGTGTTGTTGCTGACCGTGTCCATCCCTTTACAACCACAGCGTGTCCATGTTCTGATAGCTGCCTTTAGCCACATCACAAAGCTCAAACTGTCTCAAAGCTGGTTCCTCGAACATGACCGTGAGTTCACTGTACTCAAATGATCTCCACAGTCATCAAATCTCAATCCAGTAAACTCCTTTGAGCTGTGTGCTGCTGATGTGGAGCTGACAAATCTGCAGCAACTGCCAGATGCATGATGTCAATGTGGACCAAACTGTGCAGCTATTAGAGGTGATTTTAAGCACATCAAGTTGTACAGGGAGTGCAGAATTATTAGGCAAGTTGTATTTTTGAGGAATAATGTTATTATTGAACAACAACCATGTTCTCAATGAACCCAAAAAACTCATTAATATCAAAGCTGAATGTTTTTGGAAGTAGTTTTTAGTTTTAGCTATTTT